AAAACATCACATACAACTTATAATCATTACACTTTTCTCTCATAAAAAAGTCAAAAAAAACTAAAAAACCTTCCCAAACCAAGTTTTTTAACTCTAGCTAAAATAGTCAAAAAAAAAGTTAAAAAGCCAACACACTTCCCATTCGACACCTAAAGAAACCCTAGCTCTAATCGATGTTTACCGCGAGCGACGATATGCTCTCCAGCGAGGCTAGTTTTTGGACTGCCAACTGGGACGCAGTAGCGATCGAGTCGTCCTCTAGTATCCTGGCGCGTTCCAAGACCTCCGCCTAGTGTTGCCACAAGATGGAGAGACTCCGCCAGAAGTATCACACTAAGAAGTAGTGATCTTTCTCTTCATATCTCAGATTTCTCTCTCCTCAGATCTTCTCCAATCAGATTACTGAGATCTCTCCGACGATGACATCTCTTCTCTCGTTGGCGGTGGGTTTGGCGAGAAGGCGAAGAATGACAAGGGCGTAGTTGGGGGCGATAGGTTCTGCAATCATCTACTTTTTGAATCTTAGACAAAGAGCTCTCTTTATGAATCTTAGACGAAGAGCTGTTCTTAGAGGTCCATGACCATGGCGACGCAGTGGCTGACGTCTTAGACGATGAAGCTACAGATCTAGATCTCGTGACTAGAATAACAACAGAAAAGAGCCTAGGAGCATTGACGAAAAAAATGACAGAGGAGCATCGACGGAAAACGGCGGAGGAGCAATGCGGGAAAGTAGTAGTGGAGGAGCAAAGAGAGAGAGTTTGAAGAGAGAGAGATGGGGGGTTAAAGTTTGTAGAGGAAAAGAAACAGAGAGAGAGAGAGAGAGAGAGAGAGTGACTGTGTGCGTGATGGAAATTTGGACTGTGTATATGACGTATACTGTACTTTGGTCATTATGTTTAAATTTGTCCTTTTGAATAAAATGTGGATAAAGTGTTTTAACGCTTGAACTTTTAGATAAAGGAAATTTAAAATTGAAATTTTCAATTGAACGTCCTCTAAAAAATTACTAAAAATACAAATAAATAAAAATAAATAAATAAAATTAAAAAATATATATTTTTAAAAACTCTAAACTAAAAAATGTGAACAATCAGATCCTAATTTCCATTCTTTTATTTATTTATTTATTTTTTAGAAGTTATCACTGAATTCTAAGGTTGCGTTTGATTGAATTTTCTAAATATGATTTGAGAATAGAGTTGTATTTTGAGTTTGTGAGTTTTATAATTATAATTTGAGTATGAAAAATCTATTTGGTGAATGAGTTTTGAAAAGAGTTTTGAATTGAGTGGAGAATTTTTGATGTAACATATGATATTTGATACAAAAATTTACAACCTATAACCAAACACACAACTTAAAATTCTATTAAAGCTCATAAATTTTTTTTAAAAATTCAAAAAATATTTTTTATTGAATATATTAAAATTAACATGTGTCAATTGTGGAGAAAAAAAAAATTGCACTGTTCCGATCAACCAACAAGACGACCGGTTAGCCAAAATTTTCCCGTCTTCGACCGAGTTTTCAAAAGTAAGTGTGAAATTAATTTTTGAAAGCCATAACCAAACACCGTATGCAAACTAAGAGCTAGAATCACAATTTCAAAACTCTTCCAAACAGAGCCTAAGTTTCCCAAACTAAAAATCGTAAAATAAACGCGGTGTTTGGCAAGTTGGGTTTGAAAGTTTTTTTTTTTTTTTGGAGGGGGGGTTAAAATTCATAAAAATATAAAATTGGTTGAAATAGTTAGAGTGATGTGAGGCATCTCAAATATTTTACTAAATATTCTACCAAAAGTCTCACATGGTGTGTGACACGCATATGACCCACATGGTGTGAGTCCTATCCCCATGTGACACCTTTGGTAGAACAGTTGGTAAAATATTTGAGGTCTCTAACATTTTTTAAATAATTAATAAGATAAAATATCACATTTAATCTATAATTATTTAAAATTTTCTCTCACAGACATCTCATCTAATTATAAAAAAAAATCTAATCATCATTTTAAATATAAATATTTTAACTTACTAAAATAAACAAAAATTAAAATAACTTGGTCAGATAGCCGCCAATGAGGTAGGGGTGCAACTCGAACCGGTTCGGTCTAGTTGGGAGGTTGTTCAAGCCTAGTCCAAATTGTACTAAGACCTGCCCAGGCCCGAATTGTTACCCTATGTTGCCTGCCTAAGCCTGACCCGAGTTAAACACGAATTGACCGAATTGCTCGAATTGTAAATGAATTTCATTTTTTTTTTGCTGCTACATTATTAAATTATTAAAATTTGACTCTATTTATATATATATATATATATATATTATGGAAAATCATTAATACTATCAAAACAAAGTAAGAGAGATGCCGTTATACTAGTCTTTACAATTTATGAGTGAAAATAAAAAGAGGCAAATTTCACTTTACCCTCCTGTGGTTTCGGCCGGATGCGATTTACCCCCCTGACATTCGGATATCACCATATAACCCCCGCGTGGTTGATGGACTAAAGTGCACTATTAGCTTTTCTGTCTAACATGACGGAATATGAGAACCACTTGCCTATGTGGAGAGCAGGTTCATTTTGAATACAAAAATACCGTTTTGCACAACTTCAAATTTATAAAAAATACCATTCTTTTTTCTCTCTCTACTATATCTCTATCTACTCCATTTCTACATATCCATCAACACCTCTTACACTTGCTGAAAAACATCATAATAACATCACAATGCCATTCTTTTGTCTGCTATGGAAATCTGATAGGTATATCTTTGAATAATTAATTATCCTATACAAGTACACAGATATGTATTACAAATCAATCTTGAAGTTCAAGAATAAGATTTAGATAGGTATATCTTCAAGCCATGATCTAAATTCTTCTTGAATTTTACTTGCATTATATTATCCTACAAGGGTCAGTTGTAGCACCAATGGGTTTAACTCCTCTTGATATGTGACACGGTTTAATTCAATCAATTTCATGCCCCAAAAGGGTAGCTTAGCTTGTATGATAGCCTAGAAAACTAGGTCAACATAAAAGGAATTAACATTGTACAATGAACTGAGCATGGTTGCTTCAAGTAAAATATTTGAGACAAAAAAATACCTCAAATCTATGAATTTCTTTGACTTCAATCTCAAAATTTCCATTAATTCGAACAGGGGCTTTGCATTCGAACTGGGTTTGATATGTATATATGTATATATATGAACACATAATTAAGAAAAAGATGAAGATGAGATTGTATATATATATATATATGTATATGTATGTACACATATAAAGTTGAAATGGAAAGAGAGAGAAGAAAAGATAAAGATGGAGGGAGAAAGAATTGGATTCCCTTGAAATAATATATATATATATATATATATATGAGGAAAAAATTGTCAATTTATAACTTCTGTTAACAAAAGTTAGTGTGCGTTTTAATCCATCAACCATATGGGGGTTATGTAGTGATATCCAAATGTCAGGGGTAATCCGCACTGAAAGTCTGAATTGAAAATAAATATGTATTAAATAAATAAATATAAAATAATATAAATTGTGTATTATAATATTGTGAACGAACTGTCGGAGGCAACTAAGGTTTCATTTGGGAAGCAAAAGTTGTTTTCAGGTTTTTTTGGCTATTTTAGCCACAAAAAACAAAATAGGCTATTTTAGCCATAACAAACAAAACATCACATCCAACCTATAATCATTACATTATTTTCTAACAAAAAAAGTCAAAAAAGCTAAAAAGCCAAAAAGCCCTTCCCAAACCAAGCTTTTTAGCCTAGGCTAAAATAGCCAAAAAAACCAAAAAGCCAAAAAGCCAACCCACTTCAGCCTAGGCTAAAATAGCCAAAAAAACCAAAAAGCCAAAAAGCCAACCCACTTCCCAAACGGAGGCTCAATATGATTTAATAATCTAAATTACTTTAATATTATGTAATGATTAATAATTTACATATATATTTAATATTTATATATATATATAATTCAAATTTCAGATTATTTGATATCTTTACTCAGATCCGTTTAAATTTAATATAAACTTCTGAATTTTTATTCAAATTAATACCAAATTTATAAATATATTATCTAAATCCTAAAAAAGTTTAGACAAAGGGTTGTTTTGGGAAGATGGTAAAAAGTGACTTTTTGGCTTTTAACCAAGCTTTTGGCTTTTTTAGACAAATGATTTGGAAATTTGGTAAAAAGTGACTTTTGACTTTTTTGATTAATATTTGTTTATGATGTCAAATCATAATAAAATGACTAAACTACTCCCATTTATTTAAAATATTTACAACTGAACCTATGTAACACATTGTGATCCATGAGGGGTAAAATTGTAATTGCAATGTTGGCTAAAAACCAACTTGCCAAATGAAAAAAAAGTCAAAAAAGCCAACTTTTAACTTTTGCTACTAATAAAAAAAAAGTGACTTTTAGCCAAGTTCCCAAAATAGCCCAAAATACAGGTTATTTTTAATATTTGTTTATGATGTCAAATCATAATAAAATGACTAAACTACCCCCATTTATTTAAAATATTTACAACTGAACCTATGTAACACATTGTGACCCATGAGGGGTAAAATTGTAATTGCACCGTTGGCTAAAAACCAACTTGTCAAATGAAAAAAAAGCTAAAAAAGCCAACTTTTAACTTTTACTACTAACCAAAAAAAGTGACATTTAGCCAAGTTCCCAAAATAGTCCAAAATACAGGTTATTTGGTTTAGTCTGCCCAAGTATCACCCTACAACGAAGGCAAAGAGAATCTGACTGAACAGTCTAATCTCAAAATCAGTGTCACTTCCAATTTCCAAAGCTCCAAGCCTCAACAAAACCCCAGACTTTTACTTCCAAGTGGCAAGCTTCGCATAGCCAGATGTACGGACATCGTGGCTCGAATCCGAAGCTCGAAACCCTAAAATGCAGAGACCAGTAGCAGTGGGGACGGAGGAGATCTCACTCTCAAACCCTACCACAAGAAAATGGCCAAACAGTCGTCGGGATGGCTCGCTCTTCAGAAGCGATGGCTCTTTCTCCTTCTGCTCGCCCTTTCTCTCTCGACTCTGCTCGCTTTCATTCTCAGAGCCGCTCTCGACTCTACCTGCCATCGCCAACAACACTTCCAAGTCCCGCACAATCGGCTTCGCTCGGCTCCGCGGACCGAAACGGCTCCGAATCCCCTCAGTTTCATGAAGTATAAGCTCGTTCTACTCGTTTCGCACGAGCTCTCACTTTCTGGTAATCTCTTTCGTCTCCTAATCACTCGACATTTGAATTTGAATTTTTGATTTCACGAAAAAAATTTGATTTTTTGATTCATTTATCACTGTTTGGTACCCTTCGTATATAGCTGTAGTTATTGATTTGCTCAGCCGTAAAAAGGAAAAAATAAATAAATATAAGAGCAACTCCGACATTAATAGGCATTTTGCTTAACAAAAGAGCATAAAAAGTACATGTATTTTGCCTAATTACTATGCTGCCTAGTGTGAACTCCAACAATACGTAATTCATGAAATCGGTTTGCCTAGTCTCCAAGGCTCTCCAAAATGTAGCTAGCCAAGACAGGATGAGGCAAAATGCCTAAAATGCTTTAAATGCCTCTCCTATTGGAAATGCTTAATATAGATATAAATTAAAATGAATGGAACATTTACCAATTGTGACTGCAATCAGGAGTTCCAGCCGTGCACATCCATCAGTTAAAATCATGCATTAAATGGGACACACGATTTAGAGTTTACAACTTGATGCATTGGAAGGTTGTCCATTTGTCGAGTTCCATTTGTTACAAGTATGTTACGGTTTTGATAGTGGTGGGTCCAACTCAAACATAATCTGTCGGATTCAATTTAACTCAACTTGTTAGTCAAAATACAACAAAAGAGGGCCATAAAAGCTAGCATGGCTCATGACTTTTAAATAAAGCAGTTTCACACATTTGTTTGGCAATTTCTCTTTAATTTTTACGGGAATTTAGTTTGGTCCTAATACTATTTCACCAAAATAATTAAGTGCTTGGGAAAATATGCAATTGCTTCAATGAAATGGTAATTTGAGTACATTGAATACATTCTGATATATGGAAAGTTTCTCTGTTAAATTATCACAGTTGTAGATTATTTTCAACATGTTAATTCTGTTGCACAGTCGTATTTGATTGACCAGTTTTTCATTTCACATCATTGTATGAGAATTATTGAGTGGATATTTTGACGAGTACCAATGGTTTGTTTACTCCTCTTGCTATTGATTTCTTCAGGTGGACCATTGTTGCTGATGGAGCTAGCGTTTCTGTTAAGAGGCGTCGGTGCTAAAGTTTGTTGGATGACAAACCAGAAATCTTCAGAAATGGATGAGGTTGTATACAGTTTGGAACATAGGATGTTGCACCGAGGAGTACAGGTTATACATCACTGTGCTTTTAGTATCTCTGTCCTACTTATTATTTCAGGTTTTGGTGTTTGTTTCTTTATTCACTGGTATGGGGTAGCTGATATGCACATATGACTGTTTCTCACAGTCTATGTTGCTAGCACAAGAGTTCAAATATTTTCTTCATTAGGTATTAATATTGTTTTTTTTTTTTGAACAAAGTATTAATATTGTTCTGTAACCATGTTTTTATGCTAAAATCTTAATGGAAAACACTTGGTTGAGAAACTAAAAAAGAGCTGGCATGACCTCTTTTCTCTAATTTCGAATTTGTGATTAAGCTTATTATTTGTGTAAGCATGATGTCGCTGGTGAGTTTGATTTTCACCATGCTGGAAGCACCTCTGTTTGGGTTGAGGATTTAGTTTTAAATGAACGTCTAAATTCGTTAAGTATGGCCATCTGTTAACTAAACAGTGAAAGTCCTTAGGCAACTACTTTGGCCAACCTTCTATAAGTTGGACCAAAGTTTCTTCCATTATTTGGTTTCCTCTTTATTCTGAAAGAAAGCACAAATCATGATGGGTGCCATATATTTCTTATTATATCAGGTGATGTCAAGGATTATAGTTTCCTAATTTTTGGTATTAGAAATCTTAGTCCCATCGTTCATGTGGATTGATTTATATTGCAGTCTGGTTAGCGGTTGGTTATATTTCCTTTTTATATCTATTTATCACAGGAAAAAAAAACATTTCTCTTTTATATCTACTTTTCCCATTTAGGGTCTATCACCTGGACTATGGTAAAAGCTTGGATTGTCCAACACGAAAATGTGGGTGTCCATTTATATGTATCTGGACTATGGTAAGTTTAAGGGTAACCATTTCATGCAAATAAAGTGGGTGTCCACCTCTTTCAGCAAACCAAATTCTTAGAACATGTATATGTATCTGTAATTATGATGCTCATGGTCCTGTAAGCAACCTATTTGTTCTGTGATCTAATACTTATAAGCAGAAGTCCAGTGGATTTTAAGGGCAATTATATGTTAGTATGGATGATTTACTTTAACCTGTGTGGCCTTTTCATGCAGTTTATGGTGGATCAACCTGTTTCTCTTGAATTTGAATGATCATGTTGTTCAATTTTTTCACCCAGTTTCTGATTATGTTAGGTCTTGTCTGCAAAAGGTCAAGAAGCTGTAGATACAGCTCTGAAAGCTGATTTGGTTGTTTTGAACACTGCTGTTGCTGGGAAGTGGTTGGATGCTGTTCTTAAGGAGAATGTTTCCCATGTTCTCCCAAAGGTGTTATGGTGGATTCATGAAATGCGAGGTCATTACTTCAAAATGGAGTATGTTAAGCACCTTCCTTTGGTTGCTGGTGCCATGATCGATTCACATGTTACAGCAGAATACTGGAAGAATAGGACTCAAGAGCGCTTGAAGTATGCCTCTTAACATCTATAACAATAATCTTTGATTATAGTGCTTTGAGACTTCTTTCAATGCAGTTATTAGTTGTGGTGAAATGTCAACTCTTTTTTTCACATGCATATCAACTAATTTTCTTTAGACAATGAAAGATAACACTTCATGAGATATATCATTAATAGCAATGAACTTGCTTGTTATAATATTGGTTTAATTTACTGACGTCCTGGAATTGAAATCTGCCTTCATCTTTTTTTTAGCCAGTAGCCAATGAATGTACCAAATTAAAGAGCTAAATTTGTTAAAAAACTGTCACTAGGGGTGATTCAATGCATCTTATATTTCTTATCAAAGTAATGTTTCTCAACCAACCATTCATTTTTTTTCTTTGTTTTCCCAGATTTTTTGGGGTAAGCGAGTGTTTTTATGGTTTTCTCAACTTCTAATATTCAAAAAGGCCAATTATTGCACTTGTCTTCATCACTTTTATGTGGCATGCCATTTAACGCAGCTGTTTACAATCTTATCATAATTTAAAAGTTTAGAGCTAGGCCTTTGGTTCTGCAACGAGACACGGCAAGAGCATGTGTATTATGTTTTTCGTATACAAATAATTATAGCAAATATTTATTTGTGCTTTTCTACTTTTCCCATTTTTGCAAAATGATGATTAACGATTTATTTCTTTCTTGGTGATGACTAAAGATTTGCTCTCACGAGGTGATAAAATTAGATTACGATTGAAAGAAATATTGTTAAAATTAATGTTGTCACCCATCTTCATCTAGTTTTTTGGTATGTATAAAAACATGATCAAATACGAGTATCATGGCATGACAAGATTCATAAGTTTTTATACTTCTATTCTCAAACATTAGGTTTATTTGTTAATTTTAAATTTTGGATTAAAGGTTCTGAGCTTGCATCTTGAAGCATTTTGTTCGGGCTTGGCCATCTGGCAGTCCACATGTAGATGTGGTCTGCTACTCGTGCTCCATGCTAGGACAATTGTGTTTTCTTCTCTAATTCAAGTTTTGGCTTTCATTTGGACATTTGCAAACTTTTGGTTCAGATTTCAAGCAGAAATGATGTTCCAGCTTGAATCTTGAAACCCTAAACTATAAGTGGGTGAGTGGACTTCATATTTTAGACAGAGCATTTTCATTTTTGGCCAATGAAGATGGGCTGTTGACCACTTTGTCTTGTTTGGGAGTAGCACCTCGAATTTGGAACTAAAACCATACTCCTGGCCTGGTCAGAAATTTTCACTCAATATCAGCAAAACATGATCTTATATGTGGCTTAATTCATCTTTCACCATGATTTGGCAGATCTGTTTAATTGATAGCCAATTGTGGTTATTGTTTCTTTGCAGGATTAAAATGCCTGAGACCTATGTTGTTCACCTTGGCAATAGTAAGGAACTAATGAATGTTGCTGAAGATCGCGTGGCAACAAGGGTTTTGCGTGAGCATGTTCGGGAGTCTCTTGGAGTGCGAAATGAGGATATACTCTTTGCTATTATAAACAGTATGTCTTTTATATGTTGAGGTTTTATTTTGTTTCTTATCCACTTGCTGTAGATTTGAACAGTTACAGGTATATGAAACATTAGTTTTCCGATCCAGTAACCCCTTTCTGTATTGACAAGTCAATATTTTGGTTTCATCCTACATAGTTTTTGGATGTTCAAATTTATCTGTGTACTACTTATAGGCCCCTAGTTATTGCCTACCTCTCCAAATATCTAGTCATGGTTATGCTAATATTTTGAGCATCTATTTTTGAGCATCTATATTTTCTGATTACCATACTACTATTAAACTGCAGGTGTTTCACGTGGAAAAGGCCAGGATTTATTTCTCCGTGCTTTTTATGATAGCTTGCAACTCATTCAAGAACATAAGTTAAAGGTGCCATCATTGCATGCAATAATCGTAGGAAGTGACATGACTGCACAGACCAAGTTTGAGTCAGAGCTTCGGAACTTTGTGGTACTGAAGAAAATCCAGAATCGTGTCCATTTTGTAAATAAAACCCTGACAGTAGCCCCGTATCTAGCTACTGTTGATGTTCTTGTTCAAAATTCCCAGGTAGGTTGCCACTTATTGCTACATTAGTTGGCTCCCATTTGTGGAGTATTGCATTTTTCTGTTTCTCCTTTGTTAGAGGCGCCTTTTGTTTATACTTTAGTTGATGCACTATACTAGCAATATTCCACCACTGACTATAGAATATAATGACATCCTTTACTGATGCTGGTGAAGTTCTCAAGAAATGACAACAAAAGATAGGATTGCTTAATAGATTTAAGGAGTGCATTATGGACGTGGGAGGTTTTGGTCATCCCTTGTCACCTTGAATGTAGCTTGCTTACTGCTTCACTTATCATTTTCATAGGTTTTTGAGGAGAGAAAAAGTCAGTATGGAAATACTTGTAAGGAATGAAGCATGGAATGCTGACGATATGTGGATTGTGAAGTGTGAAATGAAACTAAAGTTGGTACAAGTTTTGTGTTGATAAGAAGCAATTGCCCAACTTAAGTGGAATTTATTTCAATGAAAACCATGGGATAGTGATACTTTTCACGACTTCTATTTCTTTCTTAAACTGCGGGCATAATAATGCCTTTGAGAACATGCAAAGCTGAAAGAGGTGCATTCTCATGTTTGAAATAGTTGCTTTCAATATATAGAGATTATATAGTTATTCTTATTTTGACATGATGAATCTTTCTCGAATTATGCTTTGGCGACACAGTTGTCCATATCAACCTGATAGCAAGTGATTCCGAAGATGAAGTATAGGAAGAGTATGATGAGATATTTTCTGACATGAATACTCCATCGTTGCAGTCACACTTTGATTGGGATTCACTTACTAAATATGATGAGTATTTGAAGGAGGATGAAGTTCATGAAGATGAGGTCATTGAAATTAGTTAATAGTTTTGACAATGAAGTTGGCGAAAATTGTAATGACACCAAACAAAGAAGATCCGAGCTTCACATAAAAGCGGAGTATAATGGGATGCTTGATAGGGCAGAAAAACAAGTCAAGCTGGAGCAAGGCGAGATTGATATTTGTTCAGGCACATAATGGTTAGGATACTATGAGATGGCATTTTGTAGCAAATAGACCTTATCGGGTCTAGATCGGCCATTTGATAAGGTGTTTTTTTAGAAATTATTATTGTGGACACTAAACAGGTTTTGTTGGACACCCACATTGACATTGTTGTGGGACAATGTGATTGGTCTTACAACACATTAGTGTGGAGTGCAAGATTTCTAGTATCTTCAACGTAGTGGAGTTTGTGGGTCAATAAAACTATTGGTTTATCAAATTCATCAACAAAGGAGGTTAAACTTTGCATTGATGGTGTGGGGATATATTTTATGAGTCTCAACACGTGGCCAAGGTGACGCCGACATGTCAGTTGAGGTGCCACGTGTCCAGGACATGACGCCGAGGTGATCTCGGTAAGGCCGAGGTTATCTCCGAAGATATCGGAATCCGAGATAAGCGGATAAGGGACAAGAGTTCTAGAATGATGAAGGACTATGACATGGATAAGAATAAATCTCTTAGGGAGTTTATCTTTATCTCTTAGAGAGTCTAAGATAAGCACTGAGTAAGAGTCCATTGAAGCTTGGCTTCTAGTGAAACAAGGATTGAGTTTGTTATAAAAGAGAGGCACCCACATGGGTCTAAGGTATGCAATTTATGTTCTGAACAGTGAATTTAGCACTATTGATTATCTTTGAGAGATATACTGACTTGATCGTCGGAGTGTCCCCGGGTGGACGAACCACTGCCGGAATTTTCTCTTTCTGTTGCAGGTCAGCCAGGTGTCATCTATTTTGCCAGTTCTCTCCAGCTGAATACTGAGTTGGGCAGTGTGATCGGAAAATCACTCACATAATTTGGCGCCGTCTGTGGGAAAGAAAGGAGAATAGATGGCCAGTGAAGGACAAAAGGAAAAGATTGGGGACGACACTCCCGTTAGGGGTGGCAGACCTATCGACCTTGATGTCGAAGGAGACAACCGCAACACAGAAATTCGTGACCAGAATCACAGTAAGAAAGACGTCGGCCAGGATGGCGATGCACCAAAAAAGCCAGATCGAAGTGGGTACTACAATGAGGATGACCTCCAGGAATAGAAGGATAGATGCCTGCGGAGGGATGAAGAGGTAAAGGAGATGGCAAACAAATTGACAGACCTGCAATCGGTCGTCAATTTCATGATGCAAAACAATGTCATGCAGCCACCATACCCGTTGCAGGACACGCCGATTCCAGCGGCCAATGCGCAGAAGGGAGGGCAGAAGACAATCCCCGTAGCCCCTCAGCACAACGGGAGCGAAAGATACTCTCACCGACCTTCCAGGGAGGTCGGATGAAGAGAGTCAAGAAGAGAAGAATCACGGAGGACGCATTGCACAAAGGAGGCAGACCCCAAAGGACATCGGAATGTTCAGGGGCAGGCGCTGTGCTTTGACATAACTTATGAAGAAGGGTCGAAGAGGACTCACCATGAAGCTGAAAGTAGTGCACCAAAAAGACTAAAAGCAGGAGATAGTCGAGCTCCTGGGCGGACAAAGGAGGACTTAAGAGATTACCTCAAGAGGAAGCAGCAGAATGCAGATGCCGAGGTAACTTCCCCTGAAAAGCCGAGAACACCATTCTCGGTGGAGCTAGACAAATTTGAGGCTTCAAAGAGATTCAGTATGCCAAGATTCCAGATATATGATGGTAAGTCAGACCCCAACTTCCACGTTGGATTATACTTGAACTCAATGGCGTTGTATAGTGGGAACGAGCTGTTGCTCTGCAAAGTGTTCCTCTCATCCTTCGGGGAGATTGCATCAGATTGGTTCCACAAATTACCAAAGGGAAGCGTGAAGACTTGGGAAGGCCTGGCCGAGATGTTTGTGGCCAGGTTCGTGACAAACAAGCTACAGCCGTTAAGGGTGGATGCATTGATAGCTCTAAAGATCAGCAAGGAAGAAGGCCTCAGGGCCTATGCAAAACGGTACTACGAGGTGTTCAACCGAATACCAGAATGTAATCAAGAGGTGGTAGTCGTATCATTCAAGAACGGCCTAAAAGACAACTGTACACTACGAAAATCTTTGGCAAAGACATTGCCAAAAAGCATGGAAGAGCCCCTGTTGAGGATCGAGAAATACGCTAGGGCCGAAGAAGATACATCGAGGACCAAGGAGGTAAAGCAAGAAAAGGGAAACGGCTCGCCGAAGCGAGGCCGAGGTAACAATGGATTGAGCAAACAAGAGACAGAACTGAGGGCTGCATAGGCAGTGACAACTGTGTTCTGAACCCCAATTCATAAAGTCCTGGATTAAATTCGGAATCAACCCTATTTCAGAACACCAGCAAAGGCACCAGGAGAATTCATGGGAAGAAACCTTGGCAGGCATTATGCTTATCACAATGAAAACGGGCATATGACTCAGGGCTGCAGAGCCCTGAAAACACACTTGGAAGACCTGGTGAGGCAAGGCCATCTGAGAGACCTTGTCGATGAGGCCAGAACAAGGGAGGAACAGGCAAGATTGCCCCAGGCGATAACAGCTCCACCTCCCCCAGCGCAGCAACCACAAGCAGGAGGACCTTGGGTAATTAATGTAATTCACTCAAAGGTCAACGAAAACGAGATTCGGGGGGAGACCCAGAAGGTAAAACATCTGCAGCATGTCTACCAAGTCGGGGAGAAGAGACATCGGGCAGAAGAGTGCCAAGGACCAGTAGTAACCTTTTCTGAAGCCGACCTTGAGATGGTGCAGCATCTGTATAATGATGCCTTGGTAGTATCCCTCCAGGTTGGGGAATGTCAAGTGAAGCGCATCCTGATTGACCAAGGCAGCTCTTGTGACATCATGTACGTCCGATGTTACAAGGAGCTCGGCCTTCACTTAGACGACATGGAGCAGTCCAAAAGCCCAATGGTCGGGTTCAATGGAACGCCGACATGGCGACTGGGCACAACTAGCTTGGAGGTGCATGCAGGTACCAGGAAGATTACAACAGAGTTTACCGTAATTGACACACCCTCCCCTTACAACATCATTTTGGGAAGGCTATGGTTGCATGCAATGAGGGCTGTTCCCTCAACTTTGCATCAACTATTGCGGTTCCTAACTGAGTATGGGATTGAGGAGGTCAGAGGAGATCAGCTGCAGGCAAAGAATTGCTCCATGGCAGCAATGAAATCCACTTGCAGCATTCAAAAACCAGAGAAGGTAGAAATTGAAGACGAGGACGTGGAGGTCCTAGAAGATGTCAGCAAAGAGTCTGCCGAAAAGAGTGAAGAAACACTGAAGAAAATCCTCGTCCAAGAGGGGGATAAGGAACGCTTCTTTCTTCTCGGCTCGAGCCTAGCTGAAGAAGAAAAAAGAGAAATAGAAGCTTTCCTGAGAGCAAATATTGAGGTGTTCACGTGGACGCCCTACGAAATGCCTGGCATTGACCCCGAAGTCACTTGCCATAAGCTGAACGTTGACAGGTTGGCCAAACCGGTAGTCCAACGAGCAAGAAGACCGACTTTGATACACATCGAAGCAGTGGAGGAGGAAGTAGACAGACTTCTTGAGGCTAGAGCCATTCAAGAAGTAGACTACCTGACATGGCTATCAAACACAGTGGTGGTGAAGAAAAAGAACGGTAAATGGAGGGTTTGCGTAGACTTTACTAACCTGAACAAAGCCTGTCCCAAAGACAGCTTCCCTCTACCCAAGATTGACCAACTGGTAGACGCCACTTCGGGGCGTGGAAGGATGATCTTCCTGGATGCATACAGGGGATACCATCAGATAGCCATGTACCCCCCAGATGAAGAGAAGACTGCGTTTATCACTCCTAAAGGGTTGTACTGCTACAGAGTGATGCCTTTCGGGTTGAAAAACGCAGGAGCGACTTACCAAAGGCTGGTAACTAAGATGTTCAAACACCTGATTGGCAGAACGGTGGAAGTTTACATCGATGACATGGTCGTGAAGACCAAGGAACCTGAAGGTCATCTGGCCGACCTGAAAACAGTCTTTGACATCCTTAAAACATATCAGCTCC